GTTGGCAGTACGTTGGAACTGGGATTGCATGTCCAATGTGCCTCCTTAAGTTAAGAAGGTAATGGGTACTCTACTGAAGAAGCTGCCTATTCGTCTATCAAGCTCATTGTCTGGACTAGCTGTGTCCAAATCCGGTTTTAATCTGGCCCCAGTTGGGTAAACCTAGTGAGTTTCCTAAATACCCCCAATTCTCAGATGGAGGATTCAGGTTTTCACCACCACCACCACCCGGACCACACAGAAACAAATCTGCTTCAAAGGAAGGCCAAATGGACAAGTGTAGTATGTGTACATGCATGGCCTGTATTTCTTTGTCCGGAGAACTGAGTTGTTCCACTCAATCAGTCCACAGCTTCCTTAGCCTCAAAGGAAGGCCAAATGGACAAGTGTAGTGTGTGTACATGCATGGCCTGTATTTCCACAGCTTCCTTAGCCGTAACCATAAAACAGCAACCATACTATTTCCTGACTTACATCTAAGAGCAACTTTCCTGGCAAAATTCATCTTGCCATGAGCTTTTGGACTTTTAAGTTCTTCACACAGGTACAAACCTGATCAAGTGGTGTTTTTATCCACAAATCCTTGTGTATTGTATGACAGGTTTTTTTTTAGCAGTCAATAAAGGTATGGCCTATTTTTGCACTTGGATTTTATTCTGTTTGGACCACACAGCTATCCTTCATGTCAACTCTGGCTTGTTTACCAGTGGCATTCTGAAGGTTTGCTTTCTATTTGTTTATAAACCATCTCAGTGTATGTTTCTTGAGGCTCAGTAGGTATTTGACGGTACCCCATGGATTCATTACCTGAATCTAACCGTAGTGGGGGCACCATGGGGTTCAGGGGGGGACACTAGCATGGAGCTTGTTGTCCCCTTTTTGTGATGTGGTACTCTCCAGTTCATTGGAAAGCACCTTCCACTGGCCTAAATTCAGCCTGGCCAGTCATCAAGCATGATGGGACTTGTAGTACAAAACCTTTGGAGAATGCCAGGCTGAAGAATGTAAGTCCAACAGTTGTCTGCCCATGGGACATCCATCAGCAGAATAGGACATGTACCCGGACTTTGCTTGAAAGCTCTGTTTTGGATTATTAAAATCAAGATCCAGCATTTGTATTTGTGTATGCTGATCTATAGATATAGATGTACATGTTGAAGTCATTATGTTGGCCGGAATCCTCTTGCCAATTTATGCTTGAGTAGGAGAAACTGTGCTAAAGTTTGTCAGTAGACTGCTATCTATTAATGAGGTGCTGGTTGCGTGCCCTGGCATGTATATGAATAGCACACTTTGTGTGATCCATCAAATGCCAAGAACCCAACCAGCATCTTGTTAATGAGCAACAATTGGCTGCCCAGACTCGCACGATTTTCCTAATGCTAATATCAACTGATGATAGGACTTTAGCCTGTCATTTAAATAGGTAAGATTGGAACTGCATGTCCTGTGTGCTTTCTGCTCACTCTGCTGTTCTAATGCTGCAAAGTCTTGATGAACAATGTTGAAACTCCCACATAGTTCCAAGACGGGGGATCCTTGTCTCAGTAATACTGCAAGTGAGAAGGATTTCGGAATTGTTGTAGATCAAAAGCTGCAGATGAGCCAACAGTGCAATGTGGCTTCAGAAAAGGCCAATGTGATTTTAGGATCCATCAACAGAAATACAGTCTCCAAATTCCGCGAGCTAGTAGTTCCCCTTTATTCAGAACTGGTTGGTCCTCCTCTAGAGTACTGTGACCAGTTCTGGACATCGTACTTCAAGAAGGATGCCAACAAACTGGGTTCAGAGGAGGGGTAGCCAGGACGATCAGAGGGCTCAAGAAGGATGCCAACAAACTGGAGCAGGGTCAGAGGAGGGGGCAGCCAGGATGATCAGGGGGGTGGAAACCAAGCTCTAGGAGGGAAGACCGAAAGAGCTGGCCATGTTTAGCCTCGAGAAAAGAAGACTGAGGGGAAATATGAGAGCACTTGAAAGGTAGTCACATGGAGGAGGGTCAGGATCCGTTCTCTGTCATCCCAGAGTGCGGGAAACACAATAATGAGCTCAAGTTACAGGAAGTCAGATTCAGGCGGAATATCAGAAAAAAATGTCTTAACTGTTAGAGCAGTACAACAATGGAACCAATAACCTGAAGAGGTGATGAGCGCTCCAGTGCAGGAGGGCCTCTGTCAGATCTGTTTTGATTTAGATTCCTGCCTTGCGTGGGGGGCTTGGACTCAATGGCCTTATGAGCCCCTTCCAACCCCATTATTCTAGGATTCTTTGCTTTTCTGCCTTCCTTTTTAAACTGGACTTCGACTGTGCAGTCCTTTGAACAGAAAATCACTGCCTGTCCTCTGTAAAGCAGGACATGGATCTGTACACCATCTCAGCTTTCAGGAGAGAAGATGTGTTAATTTGATCAGGGGAATGACTCTGAAATACAAAATGTTAATTGGTAGAGCTGCTGGGCCAGCACAAACAAGACCCCCCGCTCTCTTTTGTCGTTCCCACCCACCCACTCGGCTAGCTTTGCTATATTCCATTCGCTGTCATCAAATGAACAAAAGAGTGGTTAATCTGTATGAATAAAGTTGAAGAGATCGGCATTTAATGGTGTAGAGGAAATATGCTCCAGTCGTGCGTCTTTGTGCCGGGATCAGCAGGAGAGGGTTATAGATTAAATTTTACGGGAAGGAAAAACACAAGCTGTTACAGAGAATGTTCTTCGCGGAATAAGAATATGTGTTCATGTCTCATGGGGTTGTTTGGGCAAAAACAGCACTGGCGAAATGAGGGAAGTCCAGTAGATTCTATAATACACTGTATAAAACCGGAGGTAGTGGAATATATACCAGGAGGTGCAATCCGTTGTGTAAAACAGGGCGCAGTGCATTAGCTCAAAGTGTGTGCAATAGGTGTAAGGGTGATGGCGAGCCTCTGTGTTGGTGTATTGTTTATTTGTGCACTATTTGTGTCTTCATATATGTCTGCGAGAACATATGTGTGAGAATTAATCTATGTACCAAAGCCTGATTTTGTCTGCAATGCGCAATGCTCCTGACCTCACATATAAGTGCCTACGTGTAGCGGAAGGAAGGAAGGA